TCGGCAAAACTACAGGAAGATCTAAACAAATTTTTCGAATGGTCTGAAAAATGGCAGATGAAATTCAACGTCGACAAATGTAAAGTACTCAGTATAGGAGATGTAAACAGGGAAACCAGATACCAGATGAACAACGATACCATAGAGAAATCCGACTGCGAGAGAGATTTAGGAGTAATGATAAGTAGGAACCTTAAGCCAAGTAAACAATTTGTTTTTGCTCTTAACAAGGCTAATAAAGTACTTGGGTTCATACAAAGGAGTGTTAGTTACAAGACTAGCGAGGTCATCCTAAAACTGTATTTTGCTCTTGTGAGACCACACCTGGATTACGCAGTTCAGTTCTGGTCACCGTATTACAGAATGGATATAGAATCCTTGGAAAGAATTCAGAGGAGAATGACAAGACTAATCCCGGGCATTAGGAACCTTGAGTATAGAGACAGGTTAAAGCATCTTAATTTGCACGCCCTTGAGAGACGTAGAGCGAGGGGCGACCTGATAGAGGTGTATAAGTGGAAGGCAGGGCTAAACAAATGGGACATTACAAAGGTACTCAAACTATCCAACCAGGAGCGAACTCGTAACAATGGTTTTAAATTAGACAAATTTAGATTTAGGCGTGAAATAGGTAAACACTGGTTTGGAAACAGAGTAGTGGATGAATGGAACAAGTTACCAAATATCATCATTAACTCGAATACGCTGAATTGCTTCAAACATAGGTTGGATGCTCATATGAGCAATAGGGGTTGGGTGTAAACGGGACTGCCCAGTATGGGCCAATAGGCCCGCTGCAGTCTCCTCCATTCTTATGTTCTTATGTTCTTATGTTCTCTCTCTCTCTCTCTCTCTCTCTCTCTCTCTCTCTCTCTCTCTCTCTCTCTCTCTCTCTCTCTCTCTCTCTCTCTCTCTTTCATACCTGAACCTTGATGAACCTTATTCCAAATCACGTTGGCAGCTCACAACTCGTGATTTGCATATCTAAGTAGACAATCGGAAGGAGTTTGACTCCAGCAACGAGTTTGGGATAAAAAAAATTTTAACAGTTTTGTTCAGCATAAAAAACAAAATCAAGCATAGGGAATTATTGTAATTTGGTTAATCTACTGTGAAGCAATACACCTCACTAAAGATAAGAAAGAAATTACAGTTGAATACCAAGAACTACGTGTTTTTAAAGGTACAGCACTGGAGATCAGTAAGGGGGCAGGGCGGACTAACTTAACCAAAAATATATACAACAAGTTACCAAGTCTATCATTATACAAGAAAATATCTAACCCTGGTATAACTAGTCGTACATAACTGATACTATGACCAGCTACTGGCGTGAGTTCTTACGTTCCCCGGTGATGGTCCAAGAGAATTACACCCGACCACAGTGTCACCTCTACTCCTGAGGGACTTGCCTCGTGCACCTTGTCGATTCAGGACGTCAGTCACGTGGGTCTAGCGTTACATAGTTACACAGGTTGATGCAGGATAGATATATATCCCTCCAGCGGTCTGAATATGTGTGAATTAGTTGGAGTTTTACGACAAGTCGGTGGTGATATACTACTAGCACTGACTCACTCCGGATGTCACATAAACATTTCCTCCTCTGTGGGGATTCCAATCTCAGACTTCGAGTAAGATTTCTTTAGTTTTGCTGACTGTCATCGCTGTGTAATTACGGTCTAACCTGAGACAAATGGACTGCCAGCCTAGTACGATAACCACTCTACCACCCTATCCAGAGTACTCTATGTGTAGTGATGTTGTCTAACCTGTTGTACCTTCACAACTCTTACACACCTGGTGTACCTCCACAACTCTTTAAGACACGCCTGGTGTACCTCCACATCTGTTTCAGACACACCTGGTGTACCTCCACATCTGTTTCATACACTTATTGTGCCTCCACTACCTAGAAGGATCCACTGCTCAGTGGGGATGACTGCGTGACGCAAGCACAGCTGGTGACAGACCACTTTTTGTCGTGTATATGTGGCGCCAAACACAGAGGTGCAGGCTGCAGCGAGAAATGTTAACTGTACTGTATACAATAATGTGTTCTTTGTACGGTATACACCACTTTGCCACGTGCTGCCGCTCATATACAGTACTTCAGCGAAAGAGCTATATATAATTTTCCTGTCATCCGTGTCGGTGTTTCTGAGCGGAAGGGAGTAAGACGGTCGCTTTCAACTTGTGCTAATGGCTTCAGTGAGTCCGTGAACGACTTGACACCTTGACCTTTAGGGTAAAAGTGGCCGCCGCGGGAGGTAAGCCCTAGGTCAGTCTCACTCGCCTATCTGCCGCACCTCACGCACACACTGTTTCATTTTGTCATGGTTACATGTTATTTGCTTCCTCCACATCACGTATCCGACCTGTGATCTTCTCTGCTTGTCAACATTATTCCAAGATTAAATACTTAAAATTGACTTCATGAAATCTGAAATTTTTTGTTAATGATTATCTTAAACGTGGCTACAATATTTTCTCACGAGGAACTTGATCCATGTTTAGTTTTGACCTTATACGTTGCCACGGCCATTCTATATTTTGATAATACTGCTCTTGTCAAATTAATTCTCTGTTAAAAGATAAAGTATTTATGATAATAAATATCGCAAACTTAAAATATTGTTCTAGATACTGAGAAATTTCATTCGTAAGGTAACAGGCAGAAGCTCAAGAGATTTGATAGCAAAAAAGTAATCATGACTAAACACTGGAGTAAAGCTTTCCTGAAGAGAGCGCATCTTAACAAATCACACGAACCTCCTGGCCCTTGTAGCCTACATATGTGACCCCCGCCGCCTGCTGCAGAGAGCTAGCTGGACACGAGGCCATAGCCTCAACACCACAGCCTACGTGACCATACCCAAGTATGAAAACTTCACTTGTAAACGTTTCTGAAAACTAATGGTTCATGTTTCCTTGTCTCAAGGGTGTCTTAGTTTGAGCGTCTTCGCGGTAACATTCTTAACAGTATTTCATTTCAGATCATTTTCTGTGAATCCAGAATTTTCCTGGTGTGAGCATTGGATTGTCCCCCCCCCCCCTCTCTCGTGCTTGAATACCTCTCACGCAGATGTGAATAACAAAATGTGTGGCCAGGTACTATAAATTGCCTCAAACTGCGGTACTCACAGAGTTGTGAATAAGTCACCCTCTATGCGCAGAACTAAACAAACAATGTATTTGGAATACTCTGTAACATCCATTGCCATAATTTCCTGACCACTAGCCTCTGTACGTGGCAAAATTCAATTCCCCAACGACTGCGGTGATGTGTTTGTCAGTGATTGTTTACATTGAGTTTGGGAAGTATGGAGGCGTGGGTACTATTGTTCCTCTGTATTTATGTCAAAAAAGGCAAATCTTATTGGATATATTCGTGTGTGTGTGTGTGTGTGTGTGTGTGTGTGTATGTTAACAGGGAGTAAGACAAAGCGGTGTTCTATATCCAACATTGTATAATATACTCGTATATACTTAATGACAGAAGTTATAAGTAATAATGAAGGACTATAAGTTAATGACAAAGTAATAACAAATATACGCTTTGCAGATGATACATGTACTGCTCTTAACACAAATAGTGAAGAGAAATTACAAAAACTCGTTATCAGATCAGTAGAAAAAGGTGAACATGTGGTTTAAGAGTTAATGCTGTAAAGACCAAATAAAGTAATGGTTGTTTCCAAATTGGAAATAAATCTTAAAATAAAAATTCTGGGAGACAACAAGTAACTTAAACAAGAGGAAGATTTCTGGTATTTGGGAAGTAACATTAGCTGTGATGGTAGATGTACCGAAGAAATCAAAACAAGAATATGTCAAGCAAAAACACCATTTTACAACCTATAAGACCTTATGAAAAGAGATATTAACTTCAATTTGACAAAAATAGGTTGCTGAAAGGTTTTAAATGGGAAGGGCTGATATATGAGTTTGAATCGTGGACACTTAGCAGACACCAAAAAAGGTTGGATACTTTTGAAATGTGGTATTATAGGCGAATACTAAGAATAAGCTACACTGACAGGAAAACTAATGAAGAGGTACTAATACGAGCAAAATTTTTAAGAGAAATACTTGAAAGGTACAGAAAAAGACAAATGAAATAATTTGGTCATATAATTAAGGATTGGGAGATAATAACAGAAATATTATTGGTCAAAGTTGAGGGTGGGAGAGCCAGTGGAATGCAGAGACTGGGATGGATGAATTAAATTACAAACTGGGTCCCCAGAGAGATACAAACTCTTGGAGGTAATCCTCCAACACAAGAACGTTTAGAGTGGAGGAGAGGACTGTGGTCGCTGACCCTCAGGCTTGAGGACAGTACTCTTGATTGATTGATGTTTAACTGTACATAAGGGTCAACATGTATCTTTGTTTATCTTAGTCATGCGTACATTTTTATGGAGCTTGCAGATTACCATTAATTTTGTCACACCTAAATTTGGACGGCCATTTTGTCTTTGATAATGCAAACTCATTAAATATGTTTCTCTTCAATAACCGATATATTTTGGAAGTCTTACACATATTCTCTTACGCTCACCATCAGCGTTATTTTAAGTCTTGTACAGTATTACAAGAGTTATAAGGTAGCTCTGATGTTTTTTATTGCTAGCCACATAACAGGTATAATTATAAAAGTATCTTCCCCACACCGCCACCTGTGTTGTTCACACCACTGACCTGCTCTAGTCTGTTGTCATATTTGCGAAGTTACGCTTTAAGTATAATGATAAGTGTGCCCAGGCTCTTTACTCACACACACACGTGGTTGCTGTTATGTATATATCAACACAGGTGCTCATTAACCTTATCATTTGATTTGTTTCTCTTACGAGCTCCATCTGTAACGTACATTAAATAGTGAAAGTGTCAATTAAATAAATAATAAATTGGAGGCACTTGAGTATGATATCATGCAGGATGAATGTCATCATGTCAGGCTCTTTAACTGACTGCGCATGCGCTTCTCTCTTCAGGTGTGAGCGTCTCTACCCACCTGTGGCCAGTCGGTCTTGAAGCTTCAAAGCAGAAGGACGTCAACGTATGCTCTATTGCTTGGCATGAATGGAAAGCTACCTGTAGGCTCCGGAACTCAATAAAATACCCCTTAACTCAGGTAGATTAATCCAGCTAACCAGTGCAGAGAATATACCGTGTGAGAAACACTACAAACATGGCAGAAGAGACTGAGAGAAGAGACCAAGAGACCATGGTAGAGGCACAAGACGGCATGTCCCCCGCCTGTAAGTCGCGCCTCATGAGTTGGCGTGTGGTGGGGGCAGTGCTCGCCTTCCTCGTGGTGCTAGGCTGGATATTCATCATCGTGGTGCTCATCCTGGAGGAGAAGTGGCAATTGGTTTTGGTGGCGTGGTTGCTCCTCTACTCGGCTGCACACTTCTGCTACTGGTACTGCAAGCGCCATAGCCTCATTACGCTTCACAGACAGGTAAACAACTTTTCTTCCTTTCCTCTTTTGTTTATCACTACAGTAAATAGTCGGGCTTATTTTCTTTAATATTATGCATGCTTTATAGTGGATTATTTCCTTTATCAATAAATATACTGCAGTTGCTTATGACTAATATGCTACCCTCTGTTATAATACTAAACCAGATATTGGAATATAGACCAGATGACCCAAATTATGTACCCGAGTCAGTCAACATGCAGATCAAATCATCATACCACGTGGTGGGTGTCGCTGTAGGAGTTACTTTCCAGACGACAAAAAAAAGTAACAATAAACCATTTTGTCACCATGTTTTTACAAGATTATTAATTAATCGTATGTGCTACAATTTTGTGCCGTGTTAGTTGGTGTCCTTGATGTTCACTGGTAGTTTTTGACCTTTGAGAGGGGCCAGCGGTGGTGACAAAGGATCCTCGTATTTACTGATGCCACTTTGTGCTCAAAATTAATCACGAGATTCCACAAATGTTTGATGATACTCCGCAGAACATAGATTTCCTGAGTAATGTTCCGTTACGTGGCCTGGAATGTTCATCAGTGTCCCGTAATGGTCAAATATTTTTTTTTAAATTTAAAAGAATAAGCCACACGATCTTTAGCACAGGTTCAAGATACAGGAATCAATCTTTATCGTCCATCATGCTGTGGGAATTCCCAAAATGTTCATTACAGTATTTCGCTTTCGTGTTCACTCGTGCTCTACACGCAGCACCACGACCGTAGGCCTAGGTTCATTCACAGTGGTCACTCTTCCAACCTGGCGAGTAATGCCCCACATGTTCATTCATGGTTAAGACGACCATAATAATTACATGTTTTTTTGGCGAAACCTACACTCCAACAGGCAGGTCTTGTAGTAAGACTTATAGACCTACGCTCCAGCAGACACGTCTTGTAGTGAGATACATAGATCAGCACTCCAGCAGGTAGGTCCTGTAGTGAGACACAGATCTACTGTACACTCCAGCAGGCGCGTCGTCAAGGATTTGCCATATACTCGGACACCAACTAGTTTGCCCTGTTGGGGTTGCAAGGGGAGGGGGCACAAGAGGGAGGTAGAGGGCACGAGTTGGAAGCAGAGAGAACAACAAGAGGTAGGGGGTGCCAGGAGGGAAGTAAAGAGCACCAGGATGGGCTTCTTTTTTTTATTTAGATGGACACATTTATGAACCCCAGGTGAAATTCCTCTCATGTTTTGTCTTTTTTGAATGTCACTGACATCAATTTACCACAGAACACTTAATGTCGTCACATACGTGGGCAAAAGTAGGGAAAAATTGTCAGTTTAGAACCTGCCCAAGGTCGACGGCCAACTGTTTAGCTCGGGCATATTGTTGGAACTTTTTATCATGTCGCAATGAGCACCTCTGTCTTTTGCTTCTCCCGTGGCTAAGGATGGTGTCTAATTATACATCATGTAAGCTGTGTCTGGTGATCTGGTTCAAGCTGATACTGAAGCTGGAAGTGCATCTATGAGGCTGCACAGTTGAAGAGGTCAAGCCAATCCTGAGTGAGCGGCGCGCGAGAGTTAGCTATAAACCTGAGCCCGTGCCGCTCCAGATACACTTTTTTTATACATCATTACCTTGTAGATACTATAAGGGTCATATGCATGCTGGTGGTGTAGTGAGTCAGAGCCGAGTGTGCGGGCTGTCCTACACATGATCGACATTTGCAGGGAGTATGGAAGCTTGTGGCCCTCACCTCACCTCGCCTACGTCAATCAGACGTAGAACGGATAATGTTTTTGTTGAAGCAAGAAGTCTCATAAACATCCGAAGATGGAAATAAGATTTTTGCAAACATGATCTATGTAACCTCGTCTGCAGTGCAGATCTCTGGTCGTAATATATTGTTGGGAATGTGTATGACACAAAGCGCCTCATCAACTTCTCTGAGAAACATAGGCGAGGGGCAAACACTGCTATGATTTATGAGATGGATCTTGTTAAAGGTTATATATCATTATGTTGTTCAATATACTGTATATACTGTAGGTAAGCGAGGCTTCATCAACTGGCAAGATTATCGGAGGAACTTATTCCTGAAAATGGCCTTAGGACCCAGTTAGCCCATTGTGTTCCGAGATTCCGAGAATGTTGTGACGTGTGTTTTTCCGTACCTCCCCCAATACGTGCGCTAGTTCTTCCAGGGAGCGGGTATCACCATACATCGTGCCAGAGACTTTAAAAACTGTTTCGTTAGCTCTACAGGAAAACCAATATATAAGATAAACGAACGAAGGCTGGGGAATAATCTTTTATTATGTATGTGTGTGCTTGTATGATGATATGATCAACGTGAATATGGGAAGGTTAATTCTTGGGTGGGTGTATTTAAGGCCTCAAAAATAAAAATGCTTCCTACTTAACCAGAGACCACACTAACAACATCCCATCGTTATCAATACCATACAAATAAGCGAGACGTTCTATAAGAATAACCAATTACTTCCAGGAAATATTTTTACCAATTAATTACAATATCGTTTCCTCACGTGCCTATCATCCTTATTCTAAACACCCATCAGTGTGCAACTTAACTGCTATGTTAGAAGAACGTCAGTCTTCCATGGCGAGACGGATGGGACGAAGCCACTGAGGTGCAGTAAAACTGTGACCGGGTGGAAGCTGATGTAACGCTTCAAGTCTCCATGAATGAAAAAAGGCTTAACCCACCATTGATTTATAAATGGAATATGATCAATCGAACGCTGGCTATGTATTACTGTAATTACTGTACTCCTTCATGACCATGATACAGGAGCAGATACAGGTCCAAATATTCTGTGAAATGAATGAACGTCAACGCTTCTTGAAGGGGAAGTGAACCCTAGTGTAATGGCCGGTTACCCCACAAATGGGAAGAACGCAAGATTTATAACGTAATTTTCATGGAAAGAAAAGGAACGCAATGCAATGTTACAATATACCAGTAATTGAGAGAAACAATGTAATGCTATAGTGTAAGTTACTCTTTAATAATTAAAGAGTAACTTCCATCACCAAGGAGAAGCAGAAGCAGTTATGCTCCAATACACATAACTGACTGTATTAACAGGATGTTTTAATACCTCAGCGCGACTGATAAAAAATAATGCCGGTTCTGACGAAACTGGTGATGCCCGCCGCTGGTGAGCCAAGTCTAGCGAGGCGAGAAAAACTAGTAAACACTCCTCTTCGTATTTGTGTTGCGTCACCATCTAACGTGGAAGACCTTGGGGAAGTACTCATGTTTCACCTGCCCAGTTACTCAGAACACATAATTCAACAAGATTGTTGGTGAATAGTGAAACACAAACTTTTTCGTAATCCGGACAAGTTGTGAAGGGTTAGGATGCACTTTGAAATATTCCTTGATATCTAATTACGTAAATATGTTCATCAGTGCGAACAACCGTAAATACGTATCATACATGCTATCAATCACACACACACACACACACACACACACACACACGGATGAAAAGTGTCGGGTCATCATTCAGTATATGACAACAGCACAACGCGAAGACAAATTAAAGTTCGTACATTTAAACACCTCAGGTACAGCCAACAAAAAAAAAATCGCGCTCCTCGGGTCTGTTGGAACTGGGAATGAGCAAATACCTCAGGCACTCATGGCATGTGTTGGACTGGCATACCCGGGATTTCTAAGCATTTCATCCTGTGTTCTAGAATGAAAGCAGGGCGATAATTTTTGTTGACTGTAAGTACACATAACTAACGCATTTCAGTACAGAGGTTAGAGGATGACGTTCTTCATAGGAGGAGCAAATGTAAAGTATTTAAGATGAAAGAAACATAAGTGGGGAGAGAATAGTGTATCCGGCAGTTGGGAGTGGCGCGGGTATAAGTTATTTGGTTGGTAGTGGCGTGGGTATAAGTTGTTTGGTTGGTAGTGGCGCGGGTATAAGTTATTTGGTTGGTAGTGACGCGGGTATACGTTGTTTGGTTGGTAGTGGCAAGGTTATACGTTGTTTGGTTGGTAGTGGCGCGGGAATATTTTGTTTGGTTGGTAGTGGCGCGGGTATAAGTTGTTTGGTTGACAGTTGCTGGGTTGGCGGAAAAGCGAGAAGAAAACAAGTCGGAGGAATTATCTTGAAGGGAGACTAACAAAAAATACCTCCTCGTCGTCGTCCTCCTTCTCCCTACTTCTAACCCGTACTGTGACCGCTGGCTAGGTCTGCTCTTTTTCATCTATAGTCAATAAAAACAAATAGTGAAAAAGGTTCCTTTCATTCACCATATAAACCTAGGCTAATATTGACGACTAACTCGCCGATGAGTTATTTGTTTTGATGTTTATTTTCTTACTATATTTTCATCATTAAGTTCTGATGATAATCATTTCTTTGGAAAATGATCCGTGTGGTAGATATTTAGGCTATTTGGCGCGCACTACTTTGTCTTTTCGGCGGTAATGTGGCGGTGATGCCTCCTTATCCCTGAATGTAAACAGCCAATCATATAGGATATTTCAAAACACTGTCGCTCTGTCTCGATGCCGTGCTCCGATCGTTGACAGTCGCCAGTTGCCATGCCAGTGTACTCGTATGTTTATGAGCCACACTAATCGGACGGCTGCTCTCAAGTACCCAAAAAACATAAAAGTTATCTATATCATAGTAAGTTCTTTCTATTTATATGCCAGGGGTCCGTAGGGTGGAGCCTCACAGCTAGGAAGTTAGGTAAGGTTTAGGTTTGGTAGGTTTCTTTGGTTAGGTTCTAACAATGTCGCTTGTTTTTCTTATCATCTAATGTTACGTTAAGTTTAATTTTGAAATAACCACTTTTTAACACGTTTGCCAAAACTACGACATTGTCCACAATAAAACACAGTGAAATTGCAGTGTTTTTAAATTCGTTGTCTATGAAAAATCTGCAACGGGTCAATCGTCGATACTTACCCACTTTTTAACCTTGATTTTTATAGCAAATCTCTAGATTCTGAGATAGGAGGCAGCTTATCTCAGA